CAATTGTGGCTTTGCAAACAAAATGCATGAAACTCATGCAACAAAACATGCAACCCAAGTCCCCGATCTGTGAGTAGGAACAAGCATTTGTAGCGTTACAATCTCACGTTCAGACGAATGGCAAAGACTACTAGATGATGCACAGTCCATGTTTCAGAAAATTAGCATGTTGGTTTTTTTATTTTTTATTTTTTTTACGTGAATATTCTGCATGGCACATCTGCAACAGAAAATTGTGGAGGGACACTATCCATGGAGAAATGATCTCAGGCAACATTTGCGGATGCCCTGAGACTACAGCAACTTTTTGTATGGACATAGAATCAATTCTCTGCGCTTTTAGATCGAAAAGTTTGTTTGTGTTTGTGTTTGTGTGTTTTGGTGTTACATGAACTTCTTCTTCGTTGTTCGTCTTGTTCGTTGTCTTTCCGTTGTCTCGTTCCACCTCTTTCGATGGCATGCGACAATTTGCTTCTAAAAATTGTTGCGTAGAGGGACAACATCATAAATGACATGGCTATTTGTATATTAGTACAACAAGTGCTTCTGATAGAAAGGTTTTGATTGTCAATGAGAAGTAGTTGTGATTGTTGCAAATACACTCGTAGACTCTGAAAGTTTGCTGAGAGACAAAGTTGTCTCGATACACTCTCTATACAAAATGTTTTGTCTGCACTTGCGTGAATCAAGTACAAGCTATTGCTTGAGGCCGTAGAGAACAAACCTGTGGACCACTGCCTTGATATTGCAGTTTCTGAAGGAATTTGCCCACTTCACAACATGTTTGTGTATTTTGGGAATGCACAGGCGCAGTTAATCTATCAAAACTAGCTTCAATGCAGTGAAGAATCAAACCCACAATTGGATTAGTTGTGAACTTGCCTTCCCTTCCCTTCCCTACTTCACTGGGTACAAGTCTACACATGCTTGCAATAAGCAGCAACTCATGCCGAGCCAAACCCTATCTTCCCACTTTGCTTTTTTTTAGCAACATGTTGCAAAAACAAAATTTTGTTGTTATTTTTGTTCATGTTTCTGTCCGCAATTTAAAGTGGTTCTCGCCTCAAACAAAGCCAATCCTGAAAAAATCTGAAATTTTGTGGCCCCAAGTGCTCAACGCCAAAAACCAGATTCAATCGAAGCATGGAAATCGATTGCAAAAAGTTGCGACTCATCAAATTTCGAGTTTTACGTGGTTTTATGTGATGTGTGTCTTATTATTATAATTAGTCTTTCTCTTCCAAATTATACTGCATTACTAGTAAATAAGTAAGGGTTTTGTTTTAAACACTTTTATTTATTTATTTATTTATTTATTTATTTATATGGTTATGATCGTGTTTTAGATGATGGTGTTTTACAAAATATTTTATATGTGATTTTGTAGAGTAGAGAGGGAGACATCATTTTAGATTGATGGAGAGATTTGGTAAATAAATGTCATAATTTAGAGAAATAGATTTTAAAAATACGTGGCATTGACTTTGGATTATACAATAGCTTGTACTTGATTGTTGCATGGCATATAAATAAAAATTCGCTTCTTTTATACAACTTGTGTTCCAATAAATAAATAAAATAAATAAATAAATATTTTAATTATTTTAAGAAATCAGAATTCTCTTTAAATTTTTCAATTATTATTTTTTAAGTATAAAATTACTAAAAAACTCTTTATATGTATTCTTGTGGTTCTATACTTAAGAGATCTGTTTTTTTTCGGCTTTTGTTTAGAACTAATAGAATTCTTTTAATTGTGTAACTTATAAATAAAGTATTTCCAGTCCAATTTTTTTTATATAAATCTAATTTAAATTTATTACCTTTTCATTAGAAACTAACCAAGCAGGTTGTAAAAGAGAGTTTTAATGTACTAAAAATACTTAATAATTGTTATAATAGTTATAATTTTTTTTTTTCTTTCAAGAGAGCTTCAATATTAAAGTTCAATATATTTAATTAAAATGATAAATATTAAATATATATATATATATATATATACCTAAGATTATTTCATTGCTTTTAGAGTATAAAATATAAATATCAATAAATACTTTAAATATCTATTTTAAAGTTGTATTAAAGTAGCTGTTTTTGGACAAATGTTGGTTAATATTATTAATATTTTAATTATAATTTTCCTTAAATTTATAATAAAAATACGGTGATTTTTTAGAACAATATTAAAATATAATTTTATTTTTTATTTATTCCTTTGATATTTAAAAGCTTGGCAATAGTTTACAAGGAGCTAATATATTTTATATCACTAATGCACCAACAAAGACATCTAAAAGAAACCTGAAGTCTTTTCATGGAGTAATTCTATTTTATCATAGAGGCCTAAAAAATATTTTTTTCGTAATGAGAGTTATCAAAGAATAATTAATCTTCTAAGATAATTGTGAACAAGCTTTAAATATGTTAAAATCACAAAGCAGTTTTTTAAATTGAGCTCTTAGACAAATATAGAATCTTGGTTGTAGATTTTTTTTTTTTTTTTTTTTTTTTTTTTTACACATTAAAATATGTAATACTGTAATCTAAGAAAACCTAAGTCAAAATAAAATTGTAATTTTTAAGTGTGTATATATCTATATATATATATATATATATATGTGACATCATTATTTTGTCAAAGTTAAGATGAACATAACATAGAAGATTGGATAGCAAGGCAATAGTGTATTTGCATAGTTTTAAACATCTACACAATGTGTCTCTAGTATTAACCAAACTAGGGATACTCAAATGATTGCCATCTAAAATAAGTCTAAATAAGTAATGTAACTAACCAGGATATTTGGTGTTAGAATGTATGTGTTGTGGATTAAATTTTTATTTAGTTCAGAAACATCACGATAATGGTTGCAACTATATTAATTCAAATACTTTCAAAAAATGAATCATCTTTTTATTATTTTAAAATTAAGTCTGACCAAGATACTAGATGGTATTAGTGTTCAATAAAGGTTAAGTTAGATAATGTAAAAATAATTTTATTATAATTCATTTGATATCATTTAAGTTAAAACCTATAGAAGATAAAGATCTTCAACCTAATTTATTATACAATCCATTTAAACTTGTAGAAAAGAAAATTAGGTTTTAAAAGACTATGTTTGTAAGTACATGTGTACAATGATTTGTTTTATGATTTTTTTAAAGTGTATTACATAACAATTAAGTCCCACCAATATTAAGTGAAAGTTTTTAGTGTGTAGTTTTTAAATGTTACAATGATATATTTATAAACCACATTATTGCATATTAAATTTACACACCATCATATTGTGTAAACTTAATTATTGTTTACATCATTTAATTCTAAGAATATAAATAAAGAATTTTGGATCAGAAAAGTACTATTGTATGAGAGAATATATGTGATACTCTATTACGTAATTATTTAAGTACCATAAATGAAAATAGTTTTTATTTATTTTTATTTCTATTTTTATATGAAAGCAGTTCAGTTGAATACATGATATTTACATTGTAAGTACAATCATTGTTTGTAAATATCTTAAATAACAGGTCTGTGTTTAAATATAGTTCCAAATATAATTATAAAAAAATCAAATAATACTGTGATTGTCGTATGTTTGTTATAGCAACAATTTTTCATCAAATGTGATGTTCAATCATGCACACTTGTAATTTAAAGTATATAGTCTACAAAAATGTGTCACACCGAAATCATTTGACTTGGATAGTTTTTGGATTTTTTTTCAATTACTGAAAAATTGATTAGATTTTCCTTTTTAATTAAAACACATCAGAATTGCCAAACAACAGAATCGTTTTGTAACAGTAAATGGCTTTTATTACAAAAAATAAAAAAATAAAAAACATCACTAAGCAAGTCATTGATATTTTGACCAAACATACATAATTCTAATTTTTTACCATAACCAAATATAAAAAGAAACATCCAACTCAAGCTGCTTTATGTAGAGCACAAGTTGATGCTTGAAACACATAATTGCACTCACATTTAGTGTGTGGTATGGGAACCAACATCTTGTATGTGATGAACCTAAACATGCCAATCTACTTTTTAAAGCTCCTATGGATAAAAGAAAAAAGGGAAAGGAAAAAGGATGTATAATTCATCTCTCTCACACGCACACACACGAATTGGTCAAGTTACACATTCTTCCATTGCAAGTCACTGCAAAAGTGTAACTTCCAGCCAAACAAACATAATAAAGTTTACTTTATTTGATTTTTTCTTTGTTAGGAGCTCGTGATGTGCTTGCAAGGGGGGTGGGGGGTGGTGGTGAACAATCTGGCTTTACCCACATAACACTTCCATCACATTATTGATACTTGATACTGTACAGTAAGTAGTAGTACCCTCCCCGTGGTGGTTGTCACCTGACATTAACACAGGGTTATCTCTTTATTAAAAGCCTTTGTTCATTGATGAAAAACCCCTTTTAAAAGGAAACATCAACAACGGAACAACAATCAACATCCCTCACATCATTCATTCATCCATTCCTTCATTCATTCTTACTGTTAGCTGTTTTGGATCCTCTAATTTAACCCTATTGATGCTCACCATTCCAAAAATCTCAATCAATTATTCTAATAATTCTAATAATTCTAATAAATTACGAGATATCTCAGTCTTCCAATATTGATGATAAAAAAAACACAGTAAGGAGCCCCCCCCCCCCCAATGCGAGGAGCGACTCAGCACGGAACTGCTATGTTCCACTCCCGGTTCACGCACTCCACCACGGAAGCACGACCCATGTCGCCGCTCCGTCACGCGCACGGTACTCCGAGAAGAGTGGCTGGTGAAGAGCCGGGAACCGTGCGGTGTAGAGCTTGCTGGTCGTGGTTGCGAGCACGGTCCAGTGCGCGGTTGTCGTCTCTCTCTCGCAACGCTTGGATACCAGCTCTGATGCGGAGGCCAAGCGATTGAGGAGGCGTTTGTTGTGTAGCGCGCGGTTTTTATTTTTCCATATTCTATTGACTACGCCATCGCTACGGCCGCCTTTCCTGGTTCTCCTCCGCGTTCCCCCCCTCTCCCCCCCCGCTCTCTCCCTGCCTCGAAGTGGACTCGCATTTCTTCACCTGACTGCTCGCAACTGCTCATGCTTGTGCGGGGAAAAAAATAGTTTGGCGTGGATCCGCATGGAGCATGAAGTATACTCCTCACTGATTTTGCTCGGCGTTGTTAGTTTGTTGCTCCAGATCTCCTTTGTTTTTTTGTAGGAGAGTCGCAGAGTCCGTCATTGTGTTTGTATTTGGCGTTTGCAGGCATGCCGCGGGAATCGCGTTGAGGTGATTAATGTCGACGGAGACGGGAGGCGTTTCTTTTCGCGTGGCTTGGTTATGGTGGTGTAGTGGAAGGAGATGTAGTTAAGGTTGCGGGAAATGGTTCAGATGAGGTAGGCTGCGACTGAGCTCTCGTTAATCCTGATTGAGCGCTTGGTCTCATTGAGGAGCTGGTGTGTGTACTCTAGGTCGTGTATTCGCTGGCTATAAGAAAATTGTAGCTTCTAAATCTGGTGTTTGATTTCGGGATCACGGAAGTCCAGGATAATGCAAGCATGAAGGAGGAAATGTGTGAAAGCTCACAGGCGATTTTTAGGGATCAAGGTGGAGAGTGGGAATTGTTAGTTGCGAAGGGCTGGTTTGAGGGGAGGAGATGCTGTTTTGCTAGGCTGGGCAAAGTTGCCGCCTAGCAGTGAAGCTATTTGAGAGTACAGATCGTTAGCTGTACAGAATGGATTTCCAGGTGTTCCTTGTGCGGTTGGGTCCGAAAGGACGCGGAGGTAATCGGCTGCTGCGGGTACTTGATCATGGCATCACTCTGGTGCCTTTACATGCGAGCAATCCTATGGTAGCTGAATATAGCTTCGAGCACATTGCTAAAGTTACTGCCTCTAACGATGACCCGACAGAGCTCTCAATGGAAATTCTGGACACGACGAAACAAAGCCTTGGGTATGATACAGTTCGTATTCATTGCGATTCCAGATCTGCCCTCCTAACTGTCCTATTCAACCGCATCGACGAAGTTAATGGCATTGGTAAGCATCTTTTCTCTGAGCAGAGCAACCATGTCCCCGCTTTGGTCGTTTGTTACGTATCAATGGCGAGCACTGCCTTGATTCAGCTAGCTGAAAAGCTCCTTAACAGACTATTGTTACTCTATGGTTTGCTTATAAGTGACGCGAATACTGTGTAATGCGAATGCTGAAAACCTGTGCTTTACTCATGTATTTCCTTAATTAATAACCTGACGGACCTGGCCATTCAAAACGTTAGACTGGGTGTGTTTTTGAAGCTTTTGATTCAAAATAATTAAATAGTTGGATGTTACAGACGGCCCTCATATTAATATTCATCCTTAGTATTTGGATAGCTTTAGAACTCATATAGCTTGTAATTTCAGCTTGTGAGGTTTCCTTGAAAATGCCTAACGCAGAATCTGCAATACAACTATCCTTTGTCATTGCCTGCTGACACACGTCCAGTGGATATTTTTCTTTATGTTTTGCAACTAGGCTATTTAAATTCCTCATATACTTATACGTCTCATATGCTCTAAATTTGTGTCTTCTGTTCCTTACATCACTCGCACTAGAAAGTTGAGTGGCATATTTTATTAAGATCAAATGCCTTAGTTATAAAAGTTAACTTGGCTTCGGTAGTATTCTTTAACTCACAACCTGCACATTCTCGAGTGAATCATCTGTTCTAGTGGGAACTGTTGACTTAGTTCCGATTGGACTAATTCGTTGAGACGCTAGATATATTATAGAAACTAACTATCTGAAGGCCTTTATAAACCTATTGAACATTTTGAACTTTTTCATTTCGTTGAATGATTCTTTTCAGTAAAATGATCATAATATTTATCATGTTTGCCCCATTTGACAATTTTTTCCATGAGCTTGTGCCAGATGTTCTATGTGGTGGTTTATTTGACGCGTGAAGTGTTCATGTGTTTGATTGCGAACCTGTATTTTCCTCTGTTTCAGGTACAGATTTTACCGTTAAGAAGCACAGTAATCAGCGAGGTGGTCTAGTTGACGCAGTTTTACGTGTTCGGAGTGCCTCCCTTGTCAAGATGGTTAATATTGGGCACCGACAAGAGAGACGTCGGGTTCGCACTAACGCTATCGATTCCTAAGAATAGTCGGGTTTTGATCAACTTAGTCTATCCTATATAAAAACAGTATTGCGGAAGAGTAAACATTTTTTTTTTTTTTTTTTTTTTTTTTGGGAATTTACGTGTACGATGTTGTGCTGTATTCTAGGTATCAATATTAATTTCTCTTGAAATGCCTTGTCTTAACAACACATGAGATCCATTGCAGATGAAAGGGGCTAAAAGAGTGAACTTTAAAGATATTGTCAAACTGGAAACTTTGAGCGACGACGAACATATTGTGTTGGTGTACCTTGCCTCGCGTGTCATGCGGCTTTCGCTTAAGGATTCCTTGCCTTTCTTACTCGCTGTTCAACGTAATATGAAGGTAGGCATGCACATCTGCATTTTGTCAAAATTTTGAGGAGTCCTCTTGTTTTATGTTGTTGAAATGTCTGCAAGAAATACCAGTGAATGAACCTCATGTGGTTCTTTTAAGTGTTTTCTCTGATGCCGATCTTGGGGTTGTTGCAGTCAAATTTGAAATTGGACATCGAGATCCAGAAGATTACAAGTTCTGCATTGATCGAGAATGTCGCGGCATATCTAAGAAAAGGGGTAGGTCCGGGAGTTAATATGTGCTCATTCAGTTGTGACCCTTAATTCACATGGTTATGCTATCTTTTCTGATAAAACACGTGGTGTTTGGCAGCAACTCGACCGTTCACCGTATGGTTAGCAAGGTAGCAGTGGATAGGCTAATCTTAATACCTCTCTGACTTTATTTAAATTTTCTTGCAGAAAAACAGTACTATCCTTTATAAATTTGAAGTAAAAAAGCGGCAGGGTTCATCTAAACAAGAACGGCAGAGGATCATTTGTATTACTAAGGAATACTTGATTGAAAAGTGGGGGGACCATGTGATAGGAATGCACAGGTAATAACTATCTCTTATAAGGTTTAGTTTACATTTTTCGTGCTTGCCTTCCGCACCTTGGTAAATGTTGCTTTTTGATCCCTGTAATTATTTACTTTATTTATAAGAAAATGCGTCAGTCTTCCTTCTGCACTTACTATGAAATTTAATAATCTTGTCAAAGTGCAGATAAGCTGAGTAGGTAGTCATTACTTCTGCACACGGCTATTTTATTGTGGGTTGTTTTTGAGAAAGTTTTTTGTAGACGTCTCCAAGCTTTCCCTATGAGCTTTAGGTCGGTAGTAATGTACTATTCTTGAAGTACTAAATAGAACTAGTGCAAGGTTTATCATCGAGTGCAGTATATTATTAGGTCTTAGCCTGATATCATCCCTCTTGCAGTTTAAAGGATATACTTGGACTTATTGTCAGCGAGAAAGACGACCGAGAAGTAACTCTGGAGTTTAGATCTTGGAGACCTACCCTGTACCTTTTCGAAAATAGGGACGACTTTTTAGCCAGTATGGCTGATTTGATGGGCATCGGAAAGGGTACTGAGTTTTGTATTCGAATGGAGCCTTATTTCCCTCACATGCTTCCGGATAAGCCACCAGCAGCGCATCAGGTGTCAATCCTTGATCAACATTCATCATGCAATGCTGGTTCTTTGTATTACCCTTGACTGTAATATAGTCCTATGTGAAACTATTTTCTCCAAGTGAAATTGGTTTAAATCACTTGAAATAGTTTAACCGTCGTTTTCATCAGAATGAATGCGAGGCATACTTTCTCAACCGTTTCATTGGAACCTTCAACTCCATTCGCGATCCTGCAGCATTGCATCTTGCGCTGAAAGAGTATGCCTGCAATATCAATGTGAGTTTTCTATTCTACGACTCCCCGTAAAGATCTTATTTACTGTATCGAGTAGCCAATGCACTGTTGATTAGATGCACGTATTTTGCACCATCTACTTCAGTATCATCTGGCCAACTTAACTGGATATGTTTTTCAAGAACTGTATTATGGGTGATGCAGGTAGGAGATTCACAATGTAGTGATTTTAAAGTTCTTCAAGCTGTTACGGATACCCTGAAAGACTGTTTAGGTGAGCAGGACTGCAAGCAACCGCATCTTGGGTTTTGTTCAAGAGTCGCAATCTTTAAGTCGATACTAGTAAAGTGATCGCGTGACCGGATGTAAAGTTTCAGAAACCTTGCCACGATACAGGGAACTACTGTCTGTGGGTTTTCTTTATACTCGTGATAAGGTGTTGTGATCAATGCCACAGATACAGTGAGTGAGCGTTAATTACATATGAAATCTTGCAAGAAGTGTCTCGGCTGCATGCATCTTCGCTTTCCATTATCTAAACTTTCAACTTATTTTTTTCAATTTTTTATTTTATTTTGTTAATGTAGTAATCAACTCGCTCATGGAGAATTTGACAAGTCGCTTGTATTATGGGTTTCGGAATATGTTTCAAACAATCATTATCTAGTTCATAAAAGTTTCTTCCACAGGGTGATAAAATTATACTCATTGTAGTTCGGAGATTATGTGCATTTGGAACAGGACCTTTTGGCCACGATTACATCCGCGCTACTACTTGTTGCCTTGTCCTTCAGAGGCTTCTGGCATCTCGAACATGTTTTGAGTCCGTCAAAAGCATGCCCGAGGTTGTAACTGTACTACTCCAGGTACTCTTTCTCGCTTGGTGAGCAACTCACACATTTGTGTTTGTTCTTGTCAGTTTGACCTCAGTCTACACTCGTTCTCATATCTGTAAGGTGATCATTCATTCATTATATGGATTATCATGTGAGATGCCATATTATTTTCCATTTGAATCTTTGACATTGCAATTTATAATCGGCTTTGACGCAGTGCATGCGATCAGAAAACAACGTGCTTTCTTATCTTGCCACAGTAGCTTTACGAGCAGCCATAAAATTTGCTTCAGATCATGGTGATGCAGAAGTCGGTCATGCTTCAAAGGTGAATTGTTTGAGCCGGAGATGCTTTCTTTGAAATAGCGCTAAATCCATCTACTTGTTTCAAACTTTTAAAGTCGATTTCTTCTTGAACATTTTATACTCTCCTCTTGCTTCATCTAAAATCATTTATTTTGTTGCCCTTGATGTTTTGCAGCAAGAATTTGCAAACAGGATGACAATCTTGAGCACTGATCATCTTCAGCAGTTAGTGAAACTGCTTCAGGCACTCTCATCTGCAGAAAGCAGTGCTTTGCAGGTGCAAAGCTCGTTCTAGTTCTGCCGAAAGAGCATGTCTCTCCATATTCTACAGTTCTTTCGATCAACTTTATTTTGAGGACTATTGAAACAATTTCAATGTTTGTTTGCTTTATTTTTTTTATTTTTTATTCATTTTATTTGAAATCCATCTAATTGCAAAACATGTGTAACAGACTGTACTTCTTAATGCTTCAAGAGAGTCCAGCGTGGCTCAAAGTACAGCTGTGACCCGAATTTTTTTATTGATCATCCTGCTTCAATGTCATGCAGATTGTGGGGCTTTTGGATATCTTTACATTGATTCTCACGTCACAGCCTTTGGAAACCGAAACAGCGCGGGCATGGATTAAGGTAATAATGAATTTCCATCAACCAGGGGGTTATAGTCAAGTCGCATGTATTGTAATTTATTCTTTTGGATTGACTGGAGTTTCTATATCTGACGTCTTACCCCAAAATGTTTCTACAGGCTTATGAAGCGTCAATTATGGCTGCTGCAGATGTACTGTGTACAATCTCTAGGTCTTCAAGTTCTGTTGTCTTCCACAGGTGCATTTTTTGAATTTGGCTATTGAGAAATGTATTCTTGTAAAAGTGTGAGGCAAAAGGACACTGTACATGAGCAAAGATTTATCGAATTGTGGCTAGCGCAGGGATCATATGTGCATTTCCGTAGTAGTAAATTTTTCCCCAGTATTTGTGTGTGTTTGTGTGTGTGTGGTTAACATTATTAAAATGGTGTCCGTCATTGTGGCAGGAATGGGGTGTTGCTGAAAGCACTTCTCACAAAGGCCTCACAGCCTGTATGTAGTCATCTGCAGGTCTGTGCTTAATGGTTTCTGATTTATACTAAATGTTTTGAGTCAGCTTGGGAAATTCCCTTCTTATCCACTATTTTTCAAGATTTTGCAGATTGGTGTAAAAGTGTATGCTCTTGTTGTGTGGCTTTGCAGAAATACTGTCTTGGTCGATGTGTGGTTCTGATGCAATTTAAAGCGGCACTTTTCTCTAAGCAAGAGCATGTTCGGTTATTAAGTAGCAATCTAGTCTTCCTTTTGATGGAAGGCAACCGTGATGCACGAAAAGTTTTGGAAGTCCTTCTTCCCAAGGTTGTCTTCTTTTTTGAAAGACCCATTCAGTTGTATACAAGTTCGTAAACCAATATAATTGTTGTTTTGATTATTTAGTTTCCTCGAAATCGAATATCGCCAGGTTGTTGTCTCATGTTTGGCAATGGCTCTAGATGAAGCGATGTGGAGCATAATGTATCTATGCTCGAGTTTATTTGTGGACTTACTGCGGATTCTGTCTTGGCTCAGGGTGTTATGCAGCTTTATGCTAGTAAAGTAGCTGAGAGGAAAGTGGCTGGAAAGGTACGCAAATCAACATGCTCAAAATAAATGTTTTGTCTTAATTTTTGTTTCTCACGAGTATATGAATACCTTCAGCTTGGTCATCTATAAAGCTGAACCAAGTGGCTTACACTTTATAACAAGATTCTTACAAGTATTTGACATGGAATCTTACACGTGTTGTCACCAGGATAAAGCAAATGGTGGTCTATTAGCGTGGATAGAGACTCTTGAAGTACTGCGAAGTCAGACACTTGAAACACCAGTCTTGGTATGGAATGATTTGAAGCGTTTGGAACTCAGAAAGGTAAAGCATCTTTTGCAATATTCACTTGGATACTGCTCAAAATTTCACGTATTTATTCGTTAAATTACATGCTCGATATTGAAAACATTATTGGAGGCTTGAGCATCAGAGAACGTTCTTGGTTTGTTGAAGATGATGATGTTAAGGTCTTGTTTTGAATCTCATTTAGATCACCCATTCTTTCTGGATCTGCAGTTTCTACAAGACGAGGTAGATGGATTCTACGAAGCGTACAAAAGTGATCACGAACTCTTTTACGATACTGCAGACATACAGCTTGTGTACTCTACAGCTAGTGAGGGTGAAGGCTCAGTGATTGGTGGTATCCACCTGGAGCTTCTTGTGGACCTTCATCCTCCTGCTGATTCTGCTAACTACTCTTTTTGGAAGGTTTGTGAACCTCCAATATCTATTCTAATGATTGCTCATGCTGTCATGTACGAAAGGATCTTCGATATCCTCGTTGTGGAATTCGAAGTGTTCATTATCTTGGTTGAACTACTTTCGTGAGTCCGTCTACTGAATGCTTTCTAGTTAAGGATCTGTGGGAATTTGTTTGGAATTTGAACTTAAATCTTATCGCCTTTTTGAAATGAACCTTCAGCACTGATGATTTTCCTCTGGGCTTGGAATGGTCGGACAGTTGCATGAGCCACTGGCTATATTTCAATCAGTATTTCAGGCCATGGTACTTGGCTTCACTCCGCTTTTTGGTCACAACAACTTACCGGAGCTTGATCTACGACTGGCTGTCCATGTGCTTATTTGGATTTATGAACGTCATGCAGACGAGGTTGCCTTCAGTGTTCAAACGTTGAACGTTGTCGAGGTATCCCTCTTAATCACACCCGTTGCTAAAATTTTGATAATAGCTGCGACTGCAGGTGTAGTTTTTCATATTGTAATTGATATGTTACTCCGTTACGCGCACAACTTCAAATGTAATTTCAGTAAGTTTCTGACATTCTTTACGGCAGACTGCTGTCGGGATGCTCCGCGAAGTGGTGGAGAGTGAACATCAGGTGTTTGTTTTCAAGCTGGTGGTATTTTTGTTAGTCACTGTGGAGAAGGGGGGACGGGATAATGTTCTACGTTTCGTTCGCAGTGGAGGGGCGACTGTTCTAGTTCCTCTTATTGTGTTATCATTAGCAAAGGTGAGTTTCTTGTAAGTTTACTGTAATCGTTATTACTGATAGAACTTGTGGTCATCAAAAGGTTTTGAAATGTGGACCCTGGCACTGCATGCATGCTACCTTGGTTCTCTTTGATCTCAGTGATTTTCAGAATTGTAACGGTGGATTTCTATGTTATCAGTGTTGTAGAGATAAGCATAAGTTTGAGTGCGATGCATGGTCTTCCCAAGATATTTTGTCTCGGGGTGCAGTGGAAACTCTGCGGTATGTGGGTACGGACGGCGAGGTGAGACTCGTAAGGATTCCTTCTGGAAGAGCACACGAGTTGCTGGAAAGAGCAACTCAAGATGGCAGCATGGACGCAAAAGAAGCTATTAGATGGCAAGATGAGAAGGTTCCAGAGAAAATCCAATTAGGTTTAGCACTGGACTTGATGGAAGCCCTCTTAAGGTAAAATTTTACATGGCGGTAGTCCTAGGTCCATATAATATGTGCGTATTATAACAGTAACTACAACTAGCGGTTGGCTGGGTTTTTGAAGCCTTTATATTAGAACTGGACAGTAACTGTTTGTTAAATTTTTGGTTGCTTGACTGATTGTTCTTAGCTGACACTGTCATCATTTGTACACAGGATATCGGGAAGTGATAACACCATTGAGCATTTTCCACCTTCAGCTGCTTCTTCGAATTTTGCTAGGGAAGAGATCTTCTGTCATTTAATACAGTCACTTCTACTTGCGAAAAGTCCAATATTCAACAGGTTTACTTCTGGTGCCCTTTGCTGTGAACCTGTGGGACTTGCACAATCCAATATAGTTCCATCGTGCACAGAAGTTTGTAATTTGTATTCCTCACTTAGATGTTTCCACCAGCCCCTTGTTATGAAGCAACTTTTTAACCTTTGATTTGTACATTTACCCGAATTCTAATTTTTTGTGCTCAAATTCCTTCTGTTTTGTGTATGTATCAATGAAGGTGGTCTCAGTAGTGAAAATATTATATTTCAGGCTGTTAGTTTTGCTTGTAAAAACTTGTCGAATTGATTAAGTTACTTTGAACCATCAATCGGCTTGTTATTCTTGCATCTTCTCGTGTAAATTTAAGTAGTGTTTTCCTCGTCGGTTGCAACGTAACCACCCTTTTTTTTTGTTTCAGGATCCTAGAGGCTGTGACCACATTGGTGAATTCCAACAAAACTGCAATGTCACATCTCTACAAACTTGGTGCATTTGAAATTCTTCTCTGGAAACTTCTTGCTGGTGATGTTGTCGAATGGGACAAAACAAGAATTGCCAAATTCCTGGCACAGTGCCATTTGCTTCAGGTATCTTTACCCCCAAAGCACATTCTGTGTATTTCTCTGCTCATTCTTTAGCTTACGAAATTTGAAACCTTGACAGATTGAAGGTCCTATTCCTGATGATAATCTCTTTTAAAAACAGGATCTTTCGTCGTCACCAAGTAGTAAAAACGGTGAAGGTCAGCATGGGACTTGGCGAGACAGTGTCTTGCACTTATATTTACCTGAAGGCTTGATACTGAAGCTAATGTCTGAGGTATGTAAAGCTTCTCGTATGACTGGGGATGTATTGTAGTGATTTGAATAATTGGTTTGAAGTTTTGGAGATACGATCAGAGGGTCAGTTTGTCATATAGCCATGGCTTTCTCTGCGGCCTTGGATCGTGCTGATATATGGGATTTGGTGGCAACAGGGCCCTGAATCTTTCTCAGCGCATCTGGATTCGGAGCAGGATGGTCCTGAGGTAATATGGAACTCGGATATGAGGCAGCGCTTGCTTGATTACCTAACATCTGAGCTGGAGTCTTATGTCAAGTTCCGTGCTACAGACCCTTTAGCATTGTACATCCATGTCCCGAAAGCCCCACTAGCCTATCCAGAGTTGGAAGGTAGGCTTTAATTACCATCCCATATTTCTCAAATTTACTGCATTGTTCGATGTATCTCAGTTAATGTACTCATACGATTGTGAAATCAGAAATTGTAGTGCTGATTCCACCCATTTGTGGACGCTAAAATTGCACTTACTCGGTTGTATTCGCAGATTCGGTTTTCTCATCGCCTTTCTACATTCAGAACTTGCTGGATAGTGAGCGATTTCCTAACTACCAAATCAATGATCCGAATGGATTTCTCAATAGTCTTGCGCAGGTGGGGAAGTTTTTCAATTCTCTACCTGCTGACGATTTTCAATTTGAGCTGAGTATTTTGCCAGTTCATGCCCTTTAAAAACTGTTATTTGTACGTGTTGAACTCAGAATTGTTAAATATTGGAATAAAACCTTTCATTTATCTTCTTCTATTGTAGGATTTACGAAAGGCAGCAAAGTTGTTGGACAATTCAGTCGCGGAGTCCTCTGCAGATCATAAGGAGTTGACTCGCACTCACCTATTGATTCATGCCCTGGTGGGTGCTGCTTGGTTTCTAACCCCAACCTGTTGTAGAGGACTGTGTTTTAACTCACAGGTGACGTGGTAGTTTTTGAAGTTCTATTATTTTTATTTGTTTGACTTCGACAATTTATGGACGGCGCTGGAGTGATATGCATGCAAAAAGCGGACGAAGAGAATTGTGATTTTTTTAGGGAGCACCATTTTTGAATTGGTTATGTGAAGTTGGCATTGGCTGATTGTGTTTTCTCCTTGCTTTTGCAGGCCAATCTTGTTGACCGCTTTCCTGAGCTGGTGTTACCAGGTGACATTGAATCCGTTCTTATTACACTAGCCACACCCTCTCTGAATACTTGCCTGGTAGAGAGGGAAGGAGCGCCCGTAGTTGCTATTGACGTTCTGCACTACTGTGTTCGTGTACTGCGGAGATTCTGCGCTACAGTCACGAGGTAGAGAACGCTCTTTCCATCTCAATTATGTTACGTGCGGTCTCCCTGCCTTCGCGATAGCAAAATCTCCTGTTTCTGAGAATACGTTTCTCTCAATTCATTGCTGCTACGATTGGCTTATCATAAGCCAGACTCGTTAATCTATCTCTAAATTTGGGTCTTTTTTGTTCTTGTCCAGTAATGACGAAATACCACAAGCTTCTATCAATTTTGCGTTGAGTGTTATATCCCTTGAGGCGAAGTTGAACCCGGACGGAACCTTCCCAATAGCAAGCAGCAATACAAGCCTGGAGTCTATCGCTACAGGATCCTTCTTTATTCTAGAGATTGCTTCTTCTTCTCAGTAAGATTTTATTTTAATATTCTTTTTCTGAAGGCTTCTGATCATTGAACTGTTATATGATTTGAATATTCCATTCTGTTTCACAATTGATAGTTAGTTTTGGCTTCTGGTTGAAGTAGAGATCCATTGTTTTGGAGGTTGAAATTTGCCTACATCTTTTTTTAGAAACATTCTTATCATGTCAATTAAAGTTTGTCTTTTTTCAAGAATAGGTTTCGCTTTTGTGCCTTATGTTCGATTGCAACCCTCCGGTTTCATGTGGCTGTTCCTTCCAATACTTCAGGTTTGGAAGAAAATGTCTTCGCGATGACAAAAGATGGCTGGAGGGATTTTTCTGGGCCCTTTGCCTAGCTGCTGGGGATGCTTTGGCCAACCCTCCTCGTGGTCCTGCACCAGCATCTTTTGCAGCGTTGAGTTGTTTGAAGAATTTTGCTGGAGATGAAGACTTGCATGAACTTGTTATCAAGCAGGTTGGCATTTTGAACTTTTGATTGTATCTTATGCTCTGTGAAGCACGATTTAGGTATATCCAGCAATATTATTTATAAGTTTTCAGTAACCGAATTGCAGCGCCTCAGGTTTTCTTTACTCTAGAATTATGGTCTAACCTTGTGTTGTTGGCTGTCCGAATGGCGTGATATTGACAATAGTGGGGGCCCTTTGCTTGATCATTTTTGCAGGCTCTGTATCTTCCACTACTGTTGCTAGTTATTCCGCCCGGTGATGCTGCTCTTAAAGCTCGAGACACAAAGTCTGCTCTTCTTTACTTAGCTGCCGATGTCCTGGGAACTTTAGTTCGAGTGCTAAAGCAGGCGAAGGTATCGCGCTCCAAACTTATTCAGCAACAAGAACGGTCGATTATGACCTATCTTATTCCAGGTCCTCTGCTCGCATGTCTAGAACATCCTGAGGGACCTGACAAGTTCATGACGATGGCTGGGTGCGACCTTGAGCAACCAATGATTATGTGGACACCCGAAGTTCGAGCAGAGCTTCGTGATCGTGTAATGGATCGTCTGCAGGATCATCACATATTATTGGCTACAGGTAATGGTGACACTGGTAATGAACTGGAATGGATACAATCATTCCAATACGAGTGCCTGAAGGATGAAATAACTGTGGGTGGAGTGTTTTTGAAAGGTCTTGCAGCTGGTCAGTGGGAGACTTTTGGTCTGCCAACAGGGCACGACTTCCTGGATTGTATTCTCGATTACCTAGAAACAAAGCAACACATTGTTGATACACGGTCAAATTTGTACTTGAGTATCGACGACGAATGTAAGGTTGCGCTCGACGAATACCTAACAGTACTGGCTTCACTCAAAGAGTCACTGAAATATGCTGTGAAGGTGGGAAGACCTGAATTAATTTCACGGTGCCGTCTGTCGTTGCTCTCAACGATTGCAGTCAAAGGATACAGTAATTTGCAAATCCAGATCGAAATTGCCAGTATTGTTAAAGTTTTGGCTGAGGATGAATTTGGGAGAGCAGCTGTACTTCAATCCAAGTTAGTGGCAGCACTTGCGGTCAAGCTGTGGGATTGTGCAGCTAATTCTAGTAGTGCCGAAATGGAAGAGGTACTCATGGGGATTCTCCGAGCCCTTCGTACTCTTGGTGAAGGAATTCCTGCTACAGTAGAGGCTACTAATCAGTTTGCAACTTCTGGAGTTCTCTTTCCACTCTTGGCGATATTCTGTGGCGTTAGGCTGCCAAATTTTGAAGCTGCGGATTCCGATGACAGCCAAGACTTGGGCCTTTTGCATTCTTCAGAAGCTGGACGCATCGTAGCTGCCCAAACTCTTGGGCAGCTTCTTTTAGCTGGCAGTGGTGTGAGTCGTCGTTCCAAACTTCTTGAGGATCTAACTCAGCGTAAGTCTCTCGCCAGTAAGTCTACAAACGGTTCGGTAAATGGGTCTGCTAATGGACACAGCAATTATGAGGATGGTGTAGGAGAAGCCACTGATATGTACGAGCTGATCAATATAATGGAATCGAGTAAAAAGGACAGCACAGGGGTGCGACCGATTGTCATCCAGTCTTTTTTGCTTTTACTTCCTCTCGACCTTTTATCCACTTTGGCGAGAGACCCAGTGGAAGCCTGTCAGAAGTTTGATGGAATCTCTCAGACTCCATGTCTTGTGTGGGATCAGGGGAAACGGCTCCTCGTAAAGGAAACGCTCAGCAAGGAGGCACGCAAGTTGCGAAATGCCTTACAACAACAGGATTTTCTATCAGCTTGGACTCTAGAAGGAGGGCAACCCGTCTTTGTTCGGTGGATACTGTTCTCCATTTTGTATGGAGATACCAAGGCAATGTATCGTGATAGCGAACAAGCTGGTTATGCACGCGAGATGTATCTTGGTGGGTTTTTTGTAGATCAGTTTCTCAGAGATCCTGGGTATGACTTCGGTAATATTCTTGAGGCACGATTTCTTTGTGAAGTTCGCAAAGCGGTCATCATTGGAGCGTATGCCGATGTTTTCAATCTTGATGACCGAAGGCGATTATTGCTTACTCTGCTGCTTCTTTTCAAAGCACGGCCTTATCTATTAACTGGTCAGTCGAACATTGACATATTCCTCCCTGTTTACGACTTCATGAGTAACCCAAACGAGCGTCGAGCACTTGCTCAACCGGCCATGTGCTTGATTCATGCCATTTGTTACGATTCAGATATAGCCGACTGTATCGTCTCTGAAGAATTGATCGAGAACCTGGTTTCTCATCTTCAACTTCGAGTTCCGAGATCTGCAGCTGGTTATGCTGGAACTGATCCACGGATATGCAGCCTTATGTTACTACTCCGTTTGATGAGGCTTAGCAGTGCAACTGTGGACATTGCATTAAGGTTGGGAATAGTTCCAAGAATGGCAGACTTCATCATCGATGCTGAAGGTGCCGATGGGGTTGTACAACGTGCAATTGAATGTTTGGCGATCATGTGTGCAGACAAGCGTAAAGGTTCTGAGGTGATTAGATTGCTAGATAAATTAGTGCCTGGAAATGCGAAGAATTACGGAGCATGGATCACACCTACCGATCATATTCGAGATGAAGTAGTGGATTCTGAGACAGTGAAGCATTTTTTGAAGCACAAGTATCCTTGTGATTGGTGGACTGAAGATTCTTTAGGAGTAAGCGAAGAAGATTCTGAATTAGGACCAGGCATCGTGGTCGATGCTTCAGTGTCCTTCCCAAAGGCGACGATGGCAGATTTTCAAGACGAAGCAGACGGAGTTTTCAAACGTAGTATTGCCATTGGTGCCGAAGTGGATACGAAGGACGTACGTATTACAGGAAAGCGCCCTGGTAGTGTAATTGTGGACTTTGAAGTCTATTTTCGACGGTTCAGGCCTGACTTCAGCAGGGGAGGCCAGCCTCGTAAGGCTGAAATCGATGCCCGCGTGTTCAAAGAGAAGCTAGAGTTCGACAGCACTACCTTTTTTGGTGGTCAATACTTCGGACGTATGGGTCGTCCCAATCTAATGGCTGTTGCGGTGAGGCATCTCAATCGCTCACAGAACGTTATGGACGATACTTTTGGAAATGATGTATTTGGAAGTATTGAAGACAAATCTTCTAATGGTGAGGACCAAATCTTCAAGCATGTATTCCAAGATTTGCACAAAGATCGAGACCACGATGTCATTTTCAGTCAGCAGCCCGCCGATCTCGACACAGACGAAGTCGAGGCTGAAGCTCTGAAACAGAACCACATGTCAAGCCTTGGATTATGTGCAGATGAACGTGGTTTTCGCACTTCTGAAATCGGAAACTCTGTGGAATCGCCATCCATGTCTCCTACGTCTGTTCTTACTCTTTCGTTGGATGATCCCAAGGAGTCGTACCACAGTGGCTCTCCATCAACATGCTTTTCACAATCTAGCTCTTCAAGTACTTCTATTGCCAACATTGTGCCGAAATCCCCTCTATCTTCTATCCCTGGTGCAACAGCTAGGCCTTCTTTCAACTTCAATTCAAGGATGGATTTTCATCCACCTACTTCTTCTCTTGCTATTCCCCGCGTGGCTCTTCAGCGTACATCCAGTATGTCACTTAACAGGAATGCGGTTCCAGGTCTCATTCGACCGACCTCTTCAGGAAAGAGTTCCTCGATAGGTCAACTTTCCCCGCCTCTTTCCGTTCGTTCTCTCTCTATGAAGAACAGGTCACAGTCACCATCTAGCTCAACTTCTCAGGTGTCTCGTTCATCGCCTTTTACGCAGAGGTCCCCTGAGTTATCATCACCGTTCCCAAGCGTACTAAATCAACATCAGATATCAGTTGCAACTCAATCATCGCCAGAGAGATCTGTATCGTCGGTAGCACCTGCTGCATCAGATACAACTCTACCATCTTCAGAAAGATCTGTAGCTTCGGTGGCACCTGCTGCATCAGTTACAATTCGATCATCTCCAGAGAGATCTGTGTCTTCGGTGGCACCTGCTGCATTAGTTCCAATTCGATCATCGCCAGAGAGATCTGTATCTTCGATAGTGCCTGCTGCATCAGTTCCAACTCAATTATCGGCGGAGAGATCTGTATCATCAGTAGCACCTGCTGTATCAGTTTCAACTCAATCGTCCTCGGAGAGATATGAACCTTCGGTAGCCCCTACTGCGTCAGTTCCCCGACCTATTGCGTTTATGGATCCTCAGTCAGTACACGTTGGTGAGTTTCCTCGAGTGATATTAACTTTCTAGATAAAAGCCCATTGTACTCGGTAATCAGAAACCGAAGTGATCATTTCATTGATTTGAATAACTGTGGAAGTGTTCAACCTGATATTCGCTAGTCACCTGGATGCGAATGCAGTATTCAAAATGTGAACCGCTTAAATGATTTCGGTGGAAGACTCAATCGTTGTGCAGTGGTGGTCTGATGTCTTTCAGATCCGGCTCTTCTTGGAAAATTCAACAAAAACATCACGGTGAAGTTTGAAGACGAAAGGTTGGTGGAATTGTTTTGTTTTTCTATATATTAATGAAGTATATTAGTGAAAGGATTTATGAGATTGCATGGCGTTGTTTTTGTCCATTATCGAAGGTATTGCGGTTGTTTTTGTATCTCTAATAGAAGAGCTCCTTGAGTTAGGTTTTGAAGCTGCAAAGTTTGATTTGTAAGGCTGATGCTGCAAACCTTTTAGGTTGCGGTTTTACCCTCTGCAAATGCAAATTTTGAATATGCTGCATGTTTAGGGTAATCATTCTGTTTCTGATGTTTGCAGTTCGATGCCCTTGGGATCAGCGCTAGCATTGGTGTTAGATGGAGCTAACCTGAAGATCACAAAAAAGATTGCTGCTATTATGGAATTTCATGATGCTTTTGAAGAGGGTATGTTCTGAAATGTATGTCTTTGATGATATGTTTTTCCACTTTTTCTTCGCTCTGCTTTTTCCTGTCCACTAATTTTCTTCTTATCCACAGAGCAAGAAGAGTTGGGAAGAATGGTTGAGAAGTTTCCAAAGCTGGTGCAAAAGTTTGCTTTACAACCACATCTCTGTTATGACCTGATGTGTGTATGGGAAGAGAACTGTTTGGATCTGTTGCTGAGCGATGAATTGGTTAGTGGCCATGGTCCATCTTTTGCGTTTAACATTCTGGATAAAAGCAGGGTGTTGCATCAATTTCATAAAATGATTGGATAGAGTTTGGTATCTGATATTTTAGGTTTTGCAGGTTAAGTACGGAAAAACAATTTCAGCAGTGGACATTTGCTCGGTGGACAATGTTGACGATGCTGTGGAAAGAGCGAAGAAAAAGTTTCAATCCATTCTTAAGATCCGCAAGTAAGACTTGGGTCACAGCTCATTTCCTAACTCTGCCCTGCGGAAATCGTGGATTTTATTTTGCAAAACAGTTATGCTCTGTGGCTTCGTTTGATACCCGTTCGGATTCGTTGCTCAGGGAAAACCAAGCTAAAGAGTTGAAGGAGAAACCGAAGCAAGTAAAATCAGATACAGGGGACGTCCCCAGATCCACGAGTGGAAAGAAGGTATTACTAAGCACATTTGTGAACCATATGTATAACAGTGGTGCATCAGTTACTTCCCATTCTGGTTTCATCATTACGGCAGCGTATTTTTTCTTCAAAATTTAGTGTTAATGCACACTTCCACCAGTGTAGTATACTTCGACAGGACTACTGCATGAATTCATATCTGAACCAATTTAAGGGTCTCGTGGGAGGTTGGACATGATTTTGCTTTCAGGAAGTTTTCAGCATGCAAAGATGTTATAAAATTTATTAAATCGTTTGATCTGTGCAGATCCAAGAGGAGCCTAGACTTCTTCCTAAGTTCAAGTTACAACCAGGGAAGAAAAAGAAAGGTATATGGTCATAACAACTCGGATCATTGTGGTTATTTAGTTATGCTGATAGGAATGAACCTGGATCCTGTTCTTCTTACTGACCTTTGATCATGTCTGGTCAACTAGGACAATCTAATGTAACAAACACTGCATATTCTCGCTCAGCATTCGATTAGAATATAGATTATAGAACGTTTAAGGTACTTGGGATTAGTTAAATCAGGCAATCTAGATTGGATTACTGCCTGCACGTGTTCTGTAACCTAAAACCCAACCTCACAAGAGCCGTGAGAATTGTCACTCAGGCCTACTGTAATCCTCAAGCGTTATCCTTTTGAATATTAGATCCTATTGTGACGTAACCTGTGGGTATATATCTGAAGTGCATTTTGCTCATCGCTTGTGTCATTTGATTGAAGAGCCCGTTTAAGCAATATGTTGGAACTCGATATAGATATTTATCAGATGCAAGATGTCATGTGCCTGTATCTAAGTAATGCATAACTTGAGTCACTCTTAAGGGGTCATCATTTTGTCCGTCAACTGGATAACATCGTTTTAAGTTATCACGGTGCAAATTCAAGCCTGTAAGATAGAGGCACACACTGCAGTATGAATGTTTTGCCAGTCGAACTACCGTGGAAGGAAGGCCGTGTGTAATGTCCATAGTTTTCTAAACTGCTTGTTCTCACAACCACAAGCAGCATTCGGAAGCTGATGGCCTTCCGAGTCATAGTATCTCATTTCACACAGCCGCGGAGGAATTTCAGCAACGAAAAGCCCATTGCAGGTCACATCTTCAGTTACTACCAAGCACATCACAAGAAACCTGAAAAGTAGTGCGTGGGTCCCCCAAGCTGGAAATTCCGTCATTCCTCAGCACAATCACTGCGGTACACACTATCCAAGAGAGCTGTGTGGCGTTCATGGTCCAGTGTCTGATGCGCCATCCTGTCCGTTTCCAAGGCCTACGGTCACACGCTTTCATCATCCCAACTTGGAAGAAGTGCACAGCTTGGGATTGCGGAACAATCATTCTCTGCGCTGGAAGTACTGAATCAACACTGGAAATTGTGTCTGTTGATGAAGCATCAGCGCAGGATCTTTGCCTGAACTCGTCTGTAGCAGATTGCATTGTAGAGATTGAGATTGAGATTGAGAGTGGGCATTGATGTGTCGCTTTACACAACGTCATTCAATTTCCATTCTCCTTGATTACCTTCAACCTTGACAGTATTATTTTTGTGTTTCTGTTACATCGATGGATTCAAATACTATTGTTCTTCTTAAGTTACAAGTTGCAATTTGCTTGCGGTTTAGAACTCAGTAACTTTGTATTGTGATTGAGGTTGCTGAGTTTGTTTTCCTGTAGGCTTTATGGGCTTTGTGTAGGGATCTAAAGAGCTCCAAACTCTCAGTCTTCTGCATGGATATTGTCAACGCCACTCAATGTTCTATTGAGTACTATATTCCCAACTTGTTGTATACTACATTCAACAACAAGCACACGGATATCAAGTGGTACTTACTTTAGTGGTTGAAATTAGAATTCTGATGTATGGAATAACATGTTGAAACTATACCAGTACATTGAGCACAAGAATGCATCAGACGAGATTGTTGTCATGTGTTATCACAATTTTTTTATTATTATAGATTTTTAGAGTTATTATTTCAATCTTGTTTATTCCCCTTATAAAGAAATAAATATTTTGTGACAGAAACATCCAACTTTGATTAATTAATTAGTCAAATGAGATATAGTCATCTGAAAATACTAGGCTTAACTAAAATTGTGTACTTATTCTTAAGCATCATAATTTACAATATTTTGAATCAGGAATTTTAGAGTGTTGGAAAATAATTATCAGATTTACAATCTGCATGACAGAATAATCTGAATGATTTATCTATTTTTTTTTAAGATAATTTATAAGAAATATACATCATTTTGAATTGCTAAAGATAAATTATTTTGATTTCATTGTTAGTTGATATATATGTATATATACTTATATGTTTAGATTTGTGTAGTAAATTTAAAGTACAAATCTTTTATTTTCATGTTAAACATATATATATATATATATATATATATATATAAGTAAGACTCCAATGAATATATGTATGCATGATCTTAGAAGTTCAAATTTAATGCAGAATCTAATTCAGGCTTTCAATTACTTGGTAATTAAAACTTTAAACTAATTTAAATTTATTATTATTATTATTATTATTATTTTAGCAATGTATGGTAACCTGAGTTACTGTAAAATTAGATGGAGGATTTAGTAGCTTATGAATTTGACCATTGTATTTTTTTTACTAATGTGTTAAAAATGTTTTAAAAAACACGTACAATAAAAAACAATAACATTAGTAATTCTATATCTCTAATTACGTGAAACTGAAAGTAAAGAAAAGAATAAAAAAAAACCATCACTCACCTACCAGCCATGAATTGATAAATATTCAACCCTGAAGGAAAATCACATCTTTTTTTTTTTTAATCTATTACAATCTCAGATTCGACCATTCTCTTCAACAGTGATGCATCATTAAATCCTGAGATAAATCCGTTTACTAATCCAAGAGTGGAATTCCACGAACACTAATACCAACTAGTGCAATAAAAAAACTATAAAAACATAACTAGTTAGTTGGGTTTGAAGACCCACTCCCCACCTTCTCAAGCCCACACCACCCACGACACGGTATTACACCCTTAAATCACTGTCCGAGTATATACAGCGTGAGTACAACAAACGGAATACGGCATAGTAAGTCCTAGTAGTAGAGATACAGAGTAGGAACGGTACTCCGTGGGGGCTGGGCTCCCGCGCAACTCAGGCCACCTCCCGCGCAACTCTTTCTTCCTTCTTCTATCTGCATCAGCAGCAGCGTTGCGACGATGCCATGCAAAATAAGATCCGGCCATAGCCATAGCCAGGCACTCTGGCATACCTCCCTTCACTTCCATGCTACCCCCAACACTACTACCAGGGTCCACTACTTACTCACTCTCCCACAGCACTATTCCCCGCTACTCCCACAGAGCTCACGCTGTTTGTCTGTCTGTCTGTTTTCTCTGTTTGCTCTGTTTGCTCTGCTTTACTCTTCTCTTTTCGGCTATTTCTCGTGGTCACCATACCTCCTCCTTCTCTTCCTCAAGGTTGGATTCCCGCCTTTTCTCTTGGCGCCAGAGATTGCTTGAGATTGGATGCAATGCGGGGGTGTCGATAGCTGTTAGTGATTACGGCACGGGTGGATCGGTGCATAGAAAATTGGGGCTTCGACGTTGCCGCAGCAGTGGGCGTTGTTGTGCTGTGTTTGAGGAGAGGTCGGGTTGGCAGGGCGGGCGGGAGTTTCGTGTCGATTGAGTAACAGGAGTTTTTTATGGAAGTGGTCGGAGATCATGCGGGGTTTTTTGAAGGGGGCTTGATGAATGTGTAGGATGATGAGGTTGGTAGGTTTAGTTTTATGGGATCGGGTATATGTTGAAGCTGAATAGGGGGTTTCTGATGCTAATTGCAGCGATTGGGGGGTTTGATGGAGCGGGTTTGTGCTCAAGGGAAGCAAGTGGTTGCAGTGGTGAACTCTGTAGGATCGGGCAATGTGTTCGGGAAATGGCGTTAGGAAGAGACTAGGGTTAGGGTGCGGGAATCGATCGTTGCAGTTCCCTTGGATTTCTTGATTCTGAGAAGCGGCTGTGCACTGTGGATTCTGGTTTTTTAAATTTTGGGGGCTTGTTAACATGGCAAAGCCGAAGAATGGGAAGAAGACTTTGGACTCATGCGTCATTAAGGGCACTCGGAAAATTGTTAAAGGTAGAGTCGCTCCTGAAGGACCACTGTACTCCCTCTTGAGTTTTAATCTATCGTCGGATATTGAATGCTTCCAACAATTAGAAATTCACTGCTGGCAAGCATACAAAGTTGCTGATTTTCCAAGTCTGAAATTTTTGGATATGAATCGGGGGTATCTATGTTATTGAGCATTTAGTGTAAGTTTGTTAGACTCATTGTTCAATAAACATGGCATTTAGATTGAGGCGTTTATGTGACGGTTCACTGGACTGGTGGCAGTTGGAGATACAGTTCTGATGCGCAGTGAGGATCCAGATAAACCTCCATATATTGCCAAAGTAGAGAATATCGAGGGCGATAGCCGGGGCAATGTGAAGGTTCAGGTGCGATGGTATTACCGCCCAGAAGAATCAATGAGTGGGCGCAAGCAGTTCCATGGACAGAAAGAGGTTTTTCTGTCCGACCACTACGACGTGCAGAGCGCGGACACAATAGAAGGCAAATGCATTGTGCACTCTTTTAAGAACTACACGAAACTGGAGGCTGTGAGTGCTGAGGACTACTTCTGTCGGTTTGAGTACAAGGCAACTACTGGTGGTTTCACTCCTGACCGCGTCGCTGTGTAAGTTACCGTGATAGATTTTTTTACTGGGCGTAAATCTTGTGCAGTTTACTTGTGGTCATGTGCTGCGAATGCCTTACATCCGGCATTGCATTTTCCCAAGGACTTAATTCTAGGATTTTATGTTTGATTCAGTAACTATTTCGTGGATGTTATTAATTATTTTGAGTATACTACTTTAGGTACTGTAAGTGCGAGATGCCTTACAACCCCGACCATGTGATGCTGGAATGCAACAGTTGCAAAGACTGGTGAGACTTCGTTGCGTCCTTTTCGCTCATCATTGAATTACTTCTCAGCTGCGGCTTCTGTTATGACGCAAATCTCACATGCGTGAAGTATCCTCCATGTTCGATGCATCCATTTTGTTTAGCTTTGGCTTAAGAATTCACGCTCTGACCCACTTGCAGTCCTTGCCACGAATGCGGGGATGATTGATTTAATGATTGATTTTTTGGGTGGACGGGTGCAGGTTCCATAGGCATTGCGTGGGATTGAGCGAGGAGCAGGTTAAACACGTGGATAGATACATTTGTCCTGGTTGTGCTCCTGAAACTGTGAAGAAAAGTAATGGACCATCACATATGACCCCAGACGCCAAGGTATACTCGGTTCAACTCTTACATATTCATCTCCCGTAATACTGATTTGGGTCTCATAACTTATATACTATTCAATGATCGTGATCCCTCAATTATCTTTGTCGCCACAGTTTCTTGCAGTCTCAGGCTTTTCAATATGCTCTTTTAATCGTCGATTGACTAGTGTCCGTAAGTATTCATGATTGTTATCCAGGCCAGATGAGATGTTTTTGAGGGTCAACCGAACAGTCGAATATAGATCAAAATCTCCTAATGTCGTGGCAAGGACTGCAAAATCGGATCAAAATCTCCTAATGTTCACTTTGTCGTGCAGCCAGAGCCAAAACGTCAGAGGAGGTGACCTTGAATCAAATTTGGTCCATTCTTCAAATCCTCTTACATTGTCTTTAAGATATCACAAATATGAGAAGTTTTTTGACATCGGAATTCAGACTCATAATGTAAGATAGCGGTCTCAACTATGGTGCGCTTCTACAGGGACCTTTCTTCAGTTAAAGGTAGCTGTGTACACGGGCTCACTTGAAGTGTTCATTTGAATCCACGAGTTGGGACTGTGTCATTTACGCATTCTAAGGGCTCTCTGTACGCTGTTTCAGGGTAACGTACTGCATAGTTGCTTGATAAAAGCCTTTTCACTTGTGGCTGATTATCTCTTAGATTAACCTGCTATCCATTTATCTGTTTCGTCAGCAAGACATTTTGTTCAGTTGGGCGCAGGATGCAGCAGAATGCTAGTTGGTTGGTTAGTGAAGCTGAGGACACCGTTGATTTGTACTTCATCTGAAATGTACAACACGCTCAAGTTTTCTTTCATTCATTGCAGAAGTTTTGACAGGTCGAAAAATACCTTTATCAATCGAACTCCTGGCAGTGACTGAAATGTGTTTTGCAGTTAGAACCCTTCCGGTTTAAATGTTAGAACTTGTTGTCATAGTAAATACTAACGTTTTGTACATAATATTGTATTGGTCAGTTGACCATGTTGATAGACTTAAACTATATTATCGGTGTCTGAAATTGGCTGAACAATAGTTTCCAATGACTTGTAACGAAATCGACAATCATTTGTCATTACCAACTGAAGTATAACTGAATAGCATTCTACGTCGTAGCATGTACAGATGCTGCATTTGGCACCGACTTGAAGTCAATGATTACAGCCACTTGGTGATGCAGTTTGAAATGGAGAGGAAGATGGACAGTAGATTCCTTTAAAGTTTGAAGTCAGAGAGGCTACGTGTTGCGCATTGTCAACAATCTCAAATTCACGAATGCCCAAATGGGATCAGCGGTCCTATCACGATGTTACTCGATAACACAAATTACATCCAACTGGACAGTTGTATTCGTGAATTGCCGCAATCGAAACAGACCAATCAAATCGGTCTGGCAGGCCTCACTCGTGGTTTTTTTATTCACGACCCTCCTTTCCAACGCACCCTTCTTTCCAACACCCTTACCTTTTCAACGCAGCGTTGGCGTTTCCTCCTCTTCGCCATGTGCCCGTCGAACTGGGACCCAGAACCTCACACATCGCCACCTGGTGGGACGCGAATCTCGGCAACTGCCGATTGGATGGTAAACAAATTCTAGGATAAAATCTGCGAACCAGCATACATGCAACCTGCGATGTGACGACTACATGTGCGTATTTCAGAAGTCGCTTAGGAATTCAGCTGTGAGGCTAATGAGGATTACTGAACGAATTAGCTTTTATCGACTCGCAGGTCAATGAGAATTTCACTCACCTTAAGATTCTGTTCTGAATAATGTGGTGGATTAGCCGTTCCCGTCACGATTCCTCCAAGTGGAGGTCTATGCCTGTTGGAGATTTCGGCAGCATCTGAGGCTTGGGAGCTCATAAGGCGAAGTCTGTGCACTCAGCTTCCAGGTCGGAGTGAGTCTGAGCTCCTTAGGCTACCTGTTCCTTCAAACTGAGCACACTCCGCCGAGTTTATTCTCCTCGATAGACTTTTTAGAGGGTGTTGTTTGATTGAACTGTGATGGCAGTTATTATTCCTGCGTCTGTGAAGTCGGTTGTCGAGCATGGCTTTGGATCTTTCTGTGCAGAAAGGGCGCATGGGAGTAGGAATGTGAGAGGATGGGGCGGTACCTCATTGCTGCCGGAGAGAGTTTCGTCAAGTAAATTCTGTTCTTCTTCCGGTTCTAGGAGTATATCTGCGGGAAAAAGGGGTCGGTATCCTCATGTGTCAAACTCCAACAAGAGAGGAATCGCGCGGTGCTCAACCGTGCCAGGAGATGGTGCCTCAGCTGGAGATGAAAAAAATTCAGGAAAAAGCTCCAGCTCGAAAACATTGCGTTGGGTTGAAGAAGACGTCGTAGTCTCTAGCAGCGCTGAAACCGGTGGGCGAGATGTCTTCGTCGTGCAAGCCTTATCGGAGGACACCGAGAACTCTACTGTACTGGACAGCGCAACTGAAATGTTGACAGGGTTGCTTCAGAGCGATCGGCAGCAGCCAGTTAGTGGTGTATATTGTGTGGACCAGTTAAGAATGGAGCTCATGGAATCCAACTTGAGAGGAAATGAGGTGCAGACCATGAGTGCTACCATGTACAGACCCAAGCTGTTCTGGTTTGTACATTCCGAAGTTGAGGAGAACAAATACCTTGATAGAACTGTTAATGCACTACTTGTTGGAGGTGCCATTTTGTATGCGATCACGAAGGCTGTCACTGTGGACCACGACGTGTGGCAAGGTTGGACTATGTTTGAAATCCTGAAGTATGCTCCTCTCCACAACTGGAAAGCTTATGAGCTCCTGCTGCAAAGTAACCCAATTTTGGCGAAGATGATGATCAGCGGAGTTGTTTACTCTATCGGAGACTGGATTGGACAGGTATAGGATCTTTCCCTACACCATGGTTATAACTCCTGTATGGAATTTGTACTTGAGTTCATGGAGTTGCAGAGATAGGGCTCTGCTCTTCGGACTTTACTTTGTGGTGTTTGTGAATCGTTTTAATGATATCTGACGTGCTACTATTTGGGCTACAGTGTGTGGAGGGAAAGCCAGTTCTAGAATTCGACAGATCAAGGCTCCTGAGATCGGGTCTCGTGGGGTTTTGCCTTCATGGAATGTTGTCGCATCACTACTACCATGTTTGCGAGGTATATTCATTTTTTTCCCAACATGGTCATATTGTTGCAGTTCTCAGTTGATCCAGGTCTTCTATTGTTGTTTTCAATTCTGAACATAATTCTGGAGAGCTAACGATGAAACAAATGAATTATCGTTTGCTGAAATGTTTGATTTGCCATCAATGTGCAGTTTTTGTTTCCCTTCCAAGGATGGTGGGTGGTCCCATTGAAAGTAGCCTTTGATCAAACTATCTGGTCGGCTGTCTGGAACAGCATTTACTTCGTCACCCTCGGACTGCTCCGGTTTGAATCGCCAGTGCGGATTCTCAAGGACTTGAGAGAAACATTTTTCCCTCTTTTAACGGTAAGATGACCATTAATTCTTTTTAATCTTTCTCGGTAACAAATATATCTGGATCAGTCAATACACGAATGTACGCAATCTTGATCATCGCGCATAATTTCAAAGCCACATCAAAGCAAATCTATTCTTATTCTTACAAATTGAGTTTGAATCTTTTGCAGGCTGGCTGGAAGTTATGGCCATTTGCACATCTCATTACTTACGGATTAGTGCCAGTAGAGCAACGTTTGCTGTGGGTGGACTGCGTGGAGATCATTTGGGTCACCATTCTCTCCATGTTTTCTAATGAGAAATCCCAGAAGAGACTAGAATCAGGTGAGGGTGAGGCGGTGCTAGTATTATCTGATGAGGTTGTAGTTGAGGAGACTGTTTTTACGAAGGATTCACAATGAAGAATTTGGCGACATACATGTTTCTCGCTAGCGTAGCAGCATCGTCTCATTCATATACATACATAAATATGTATATACATGAAATGAGCTGGTGGCTCAAGTTGAGGTTTTGTAAATAGATGACTTCTTCATATTGAGTGCTGATGTTCTTCGCTTATTTGTTGCTGTAGGAATTAGTACTGTTAGTTTACAGGCGGTGGGTAAATCCCTATCGCAATGCAATTTTGAGCTTATTGGTATGCAACATGATAATTGCTTGTCAAGCCTCAAATTGTACTTACTGTTGGACACTTAAATCTTTGAAAATGTATACTTTTACATTCATTTCACTCATCATGCATAATACTGTATTGAATCATGAATAATACTGTATCAGTAGTTGAATGCATGTAGATATCCAGCGCATAAAAATAAAACATTCAGGAACTTTCAGTATGGAAAGTTGCAGAACATTAATCATTTTGAACATTCCGTTATTCTAACTCTCGTGCATTTTCTGGTTCACTTCCCCATGAAATGATTGTGGATTAGAACCATTTTTTGCGCTTCAACCAAGTTTGTCTCTGAACTTCATTGGATATTGTTCACTGTTGCATGGCAGCAAACATAAAAAGACTATATTTGTCCTGAGTCACTTTCGATCAAAGATGGATATTATTGGGATTGCAACATGTAGGGGGGATGAATCATTTCAAAAGTCATACTTCGGGATTGTCTGCACTGGAGATTCTGCTGATTAACTGAACTCAACATTAGCATACACAGAAGATTGATAAGACTATCACCCGCTGAGCTTTACACATATTACTTCTGTACGGAACACTTGTAAGCTGTAACTTGTGTAACTTGAGTAAGTTGGTTTTTTTTATCAAACATTACACTCATATATGTATATATATATATATATATATATATATATATTTATATGAAAAAGACAGAAAATTGCACCCAAAATTTTAACAATAATGTCAAGGAATTGCATGGTGGTAGGAGTTGCCTCTTGGCATCCACACAATAACGGGATCCAACAATGTATTAAGCGGATGTTTCTCCCGAGCGCTGTATTGACGTGAAGTTTGGATTGTTCTAGTTTGGGTTAGCTAAAAAATTTATTTTGGTCAAATCTATCTCAGTAAACTTCTGATGGTTGAAGCTGATTGTGAAACAGCTATACCATGGCCGAGAGCTGCTAGACTTCGGAACTTGACATATTTAGCACCATTCTATGTGGATGTTACAAAGTTGGTCATAAGAAAAACTGAAGATGGAGAGGACACTGAGCAAGAAGATCTGTCAAAAGTCTATATCGGCAAGGTGCCTATCATGCTCCGCTCACGGTATTGTGCGCCATCCGAGAACTCAGACAAGGACCTTACTGAGCTCGGGGAATGTCCATGTGATCAAGGGGGTTATTTTATCATTTATGACGGTGAGAAGGTGCTCATTGCACAGGAGAAAATGAGCACAAATCATGTGTATGTCATCAAAAAGAGGCAGCCAAATGAGTATTGTTATGTGGCTGAAGTTAGCTCTGACTGAGAACCAGAACAGACCTAGTAGTCTGTTTGTTCGGATGTTCTCTCGACCTGGTGCCAAAAGAAGCTCGTCTGAACAATATATTCGCACAACATTACCATAAATCCGCACATAAATTCAGTTTGTGGGAAGTTCGTCTAATAAAGTCATGAATAAAATCAGCTCTGAAATCTAGCAGCTGCAACAGAAAGATTTCAAAACTGAAAGACTGAACTCTACACTGGGCATCATCCCCTTGCTGTGCACCTGTTGCCGGTGACTGTCTGTAATGGTAATGAGGATGTCTAGCAGAACACGGCACACAAGACCCACAAGACCAAAATGACAATGCTCGAGCAGCTGAACGATAGATCGGTACTCAGGAATTCTTCATAGACTCCGAGCTGTGCAGCTTCTCTTTCCAAATTCATTTCCTCTCCCATTCGAAGTATCCAATGTTATAGTTGCAGGCATATTACTAGTGTTCCATCTCCACATGGTGACGAGCTCATGGGTCGTATTGCCTACATAACTTAGCGGACTAGCAGTGGCGTCCATCGATTATGCGTTTTCGACGTCTGGAGATGATGCTGAGGCAAAGTGCATGTGACAATCCCAAATTTTATGACGCCCCCGGGTGAGGTAGTACGGAGGCGGGCTTCTTGTGGTCGGAGACTTGCGGAGGTCTCTATACCCGTTAGCCTTAAACTCACTTCATTCAATGAGTATCCACACAGCAAGGTGAAATCGTTTTACTGTGCATAGCTACGATGTTACGATGCCAGGAGGCCACACTTCGGGATTTGTGTGGAAACTTCGGCACCCCACACAGGACTTTGTGGAGGTGTAGCACATGCTGAAGGGGATATTCAAGCGGCTGCTCCACACCTCCAGCCTGTTGGTATTCAGTTGCGTCGGGAATGGCGATAGAAACTTCTTGAGTAACCTCAAGAGCCTCAGAGTCGTTGTGATCTACGATTGTGCTCACAATGCTTGCATCTCACATGACTTCCCACCCAAGGCCAAAAGCAGTTGTATGTCTCCAAAGACGAGGTCAATAACAAAAATTGGAGGAGCGAGAGCACTGATGTTTCGATCAACGAACCTTCTCTTCGAGTTCCAAATCGACATATGGCTCCTAAAAAAGGAACTAGAAATAAATGAATACAAAGAATGTTCCATCGCAGTTCTTCATGGATATAGTAATCTCGCAGAGACCTGAAATCAACTAGGCTTCACTGCTAAAAAATGACCTGATGAACATCCATCAACTATTGTGTTGATTTGTATCATATATCAGATTGAAAGAACACTAAAATAGCAGGGTAATCAATGAGTTAAAGTTATTGCGTCCCGGAAGAAAGAGTTGCCGGTTTGGAAGGGCCCCACGTCTGCTTTGTTGTGTACCATCTGGCGCATACTACATAAAACACGAGATTGACAGTGCTCATGCCCGCTAGTAGCCAAAAGAAGTAATCCAAGTGGCCCCTGTTGAGATTGTCTGCGATCCAACCTGGAGCGCCATCCTTGCTGGTGAAGTGCGTCACAATCGTTAGCAGCACGCTGCTCAGGAAACTCCCAAGGGCAACAGTCAGCAAAGCGAAAGCAGTGCCCAATCCCCGCATGGCATCGGGACTTTCCCCATAAAAAAATTCGTAGATCCCCACGTAGGTAAACACTTCCGCAGCTCCGACAAAGAAATATTGAGGTATCTGCCAGAAGACGCTCAGTGGGACAGGAACCGTGGGGTCGTCTAGGAGTTCATGCAGTCGAGCCACTTCCAAGCGTTGGATCTCCAACAAGGCAGCTGCTACCATTGAGAACACCGAGATTAAGAGCCCAATTCCAATGCGTTGGAGCTCGGTGAACCCTCGCGGGTTATTTGTGAATTTCGAAGCAAGGCGGATTAGAAAAAAATCGTAGATTGGCACCCAGACAGAAACACTTAGAAGCTCAACCACGGTGAGAGACGCAGGAGGGATGTTGAAGTATCCCATTCGAAGATCCATAGTTGCGCCTTGAAGGACGAAGACAGTCGACATCTGATTGTAGATAGTGGAGAACATGGCGCTGGTGATTGTGATGGGAATCATCCGGACAAGGACTTTTACCTGAGCAAATGAAAGTGTGAAACAGAGGCATGAGGGGGCTAAAGCAGAAAACATAAAGGACGAAAATCTAGACTCGCTGGATTGATGAATGCAAGCAAACTTCGACTATTCAGGTGATGAGAAATGAAGAATTACCTCTTCAACTTGAGTGATGGTGCAAAGTCTCCATGGATTGGCAGAACTGTCATCACTTTTGTCCCCATCCATCTCCACGGCTGCCTTGTCCAGAAACCTGAATTCATTTGTATGCCGAATTTTGCGACTGCCTTGAATGATGGACTCCATCTCCTCCGGAACCTCGTAAAGTTCACTGCTAATGGGGATTTTGATATACCACTTCCTAACTGATGCAACAATCACTTGAGTAATTCTGGTAATGGGATTACCGCCAGGTAGATTGTGCCGGTAAAATGGAGTGCCTCCAAGAAAACACATCGTCCCGATGACGACGGCGATGAGAGATGCGCCAAACCCCAAGCCCCAGCTCACGTTATCTTGAATGTAAATTAAAAAGGTCCCAGCTAAGAGCCCTCCCATATTCATCGACTGGTAGTACCAATTGAAGAAGGAAGTTTTCTGAGCTTTCTCCTCAGGATCTTCATCGTCGAATTGATCCGCTCCCAAAGGTGTAACCACACATTGGAAAGCACCCGCTCCAAGGTCTACTATGTACAAGGAGAAGAATAGGAAGGCTGCTTGAGCAGAGGATGGTTGAGGACACAACAAGTCTTGAGTGGCACATTGCTGGGGCCGTAGTGATGGTAGGGATGCCGAAACTGTGAGAAAGATCATGCCCTGCCAAATGAATTCAAACACATGGAACGTGAAATAATGTAACAATGATGAACACGGTTGTTGCGGTAACTGCTCAGAGCGCTCTCATTTAAAATGTGCCACAAGCTATGATATGAATATGAAGAACTGCTATTAAGCTTTATCTAAGCATTTAGGTAGTGGGTAAGATGCCGGTATTATGAACTTACAATAACGAAGATGAATGTAAAGACAAAAGAGGCCCAGTAACGTCCCCAGTAAGCGTCCGCCAGAAATGCTCCAATGAGGGGAGTGATATAGCCCACTCCATTCCAGTTGCTCACGTTCGTTGATGCTGTCGCGTTGCTTTGGTGCATCACAGATGTCAGGTACCTGACCAGATTGGCAGAGCACCCGTAAAAACCCATATTTGCGAACACCTGGTTGGCTGGCACACCACAAAAACCTTCAATGACTCAGTCAGTTTCACATACAAGGTGTAGGATTCATCCCAGACTAATTCACAATGGTTGGCTGCTGGGAACATCACTGGACTTCTTTGTCCAGTCCTGCCATGCTGGAATTAATTGGTCAAGTCATCAGACCATAGAAAATTAATCCAATAAGAATGTGCAATCATCAATAGACATGGGCACATTCACAATGGCACCAAAAGCTATTCCACATACCTATGGAAACCTAACCCTCTAGTCATTCACAAGACTTACAGTATATAAACCAGGATGTCTTCCAACCCCCGGTCTTTGCCCTGATAGCTGGCCGTCCTCGGAAGTCCACAGTCCCATCATTGGTGATTTCCACTTCTTCCCGCGAGCTCGTCCCCTCCACATCGTCCCTCCCCTCTTCATCTGCCTGAACGAAAATCAAATCAACGTAACCATTCGAGGAATTTAAAAAAAACAAAAAAACAAAAAAACAAACAAACAAACAAACAAACAAACAAAAAGCCCTGATTTAGAAAATAAGGTAAAAAATGAAGCATAAGCTTTCCGCTGTTTCGGACTGTTACATTACATATCAATAGTTGAAAAGCTACAAAGAAGATCGTTCACCATGTCAATTTCATAATGTGATTGATTGGCATGAGACCCTTCTCTGCTGTTAATGAAACATCATCAGAAGGTGGGATATGATAGCATCCTAGATAACATCCGGCAACACCTTGCGCTCAGGTCTCCAATTTACAAAATACGACATCCACCATAAGCTTAATTTTTCGGTTGAAGACTTCTTGCACATCAATTTTAAGCTTGTAGAGGATACGCATGCCATAAAGTGCACAGTGGATTTTACTCTTACGCGAAAAGTAAAACAAATACGGACATTGGAGTTCCAATCACCAGCAGTGATAGTTCAGATGGGCACAGCAACCATATAAAAAGATTCCATTGTGCAAAGCTTCGTAAGGAGGGGTTCAATTGGAGTAAAATTAGGGTTACAGAGACACTGAAATTCAGCAGTGTGCCACAAAACGGTTAAACCCAGCAGTAGGACATTTGATATTAGCATCAAAAACTAAGTATTTATTCGGCACTTCTGAAAACCCAGAAACGCTGAATAAATACTTAGTTTGAGTTCATTGGATTCTCACAGTTTGGGAACGTATCTGACTTTATCATATGAAATTGAAGACTCCCAATTACGAAAAACCAGTGAAATTTCGTCCTCAATCATCGATTGCGCTCATATCTTCCTCGCTAGAGCCTTCCGCATCAAATCCTAAACTACGAAAATCCACTCCTTCACTACAAACTTTACCTGACATAGCTCCAGCTAAACATCTAACATCACAATAGAGATAAGTGGAGAACTGAGATGGACCAACACAGGATCTTGTCATTAGTTCTAATTCATTCCTAAGGCGTACAGCAACTGATGAAAAATGTAGAAGAGTAGTGAGGATTTACCCGATGGCTCGTCACCTCTCAAGCGTGAGAAGGCATACTTCCCAGTAACCAGGTCAGCCATCAATCACCGACACAGAGCTTCCTGAAAACCAAAACTCTACGAACCATAAATTTGCAGAAACAATCACTGACGATTGTCTCTGTAGTGCAAGATACACAGCTCACAAAGATTCGCATCTAGAGTTGCAAAGACAAACTCTATCCAAGACATAGCAACGGAGCTGGAGATGCCATTGTTAAAGCAAGCAAAATCCAAGCTGGGTCACAAGCCAAATGAAAACATAGTTGCTTAAAAGATAATTAAAAAAAAAGGATGTAAAAATATTCCAACAAAGCAATGCAAACAGACGAATTCTAAAGTCTACTCTCCTCCTAATTATAGAAACAGCTTGCAACTCCAGCACAGCACGAAAAGCATGGAACAAATGCGTAGCAACTGCCAACCCACCCAGTCAAATCCTGGTCTGAAGCAACCCTTCTGGTCAAAATAAAATTAGGGCTACTCTTACGAAACTGAGACTGAAGATGAACCTTAAGGAAAATCCCACTTTCCACGTCAATATCTGCAACACAAAAGCATAGAAGAGCACACATCGTGTGCTTTTTTGGAAGCATTTGAACTGTTTGTGAAATTGCTACCTTGCTTTGGTTGGTGGTTGGTGTTTTTACATGTTGTAGAATTAACGTTTTGTTAAGAAACCCATTTGAAGTTTGACAATATTGTAGTGAACTAAATTTTGTTGAGGTTTTTCAAGGTTTTTGTATTATTGTTGAATGCCATGTGTTGTAATAGCATGTGATTAAAATTAAGATGAAATTAATCCTATCAACAAATAATTACGTGCTTTAATGTTTTAATGTTTAAAATAACAAGAATAAGAACACATGGTGTTTCTCAAAAGAATCTAAAGTATCAAGTTACAAAATTAGTACGTATTTTTACAATTTATATACTGAAATTTAGGTACAATATTTATTTTTTATTTTTTATTTTTTTTGGCACTTTTGTTTCAAATTTCAGATTGCAACTCAAAAAAAGCGTAGACAATACTATTCTCTATTAAAAATGAAAACAACCATAGAAAAAAGATTGGTATTATCTTCAAAAAAATTAATTCTATTTTTTCGTTTAATTTGTGTAGTTGTATATATATATATATAAGATATTTAATATAATATATTATTTTATTGTTATATAGTTAATATTTTTTAAAATTTTTAGATCATTTGTGAAAATTATTCAATTGTATGGTAAAGAATCAAATTTTGTTCCTCATAATATGCCATATCCAACTAATGATACATCAAAGTACTTTTTCTATCAAGTAAATAAATAAAACAGATTAAGTTTTCAATTGTAACATAACTTAATAGAATTTATTTATAGCTTAAAATATAAATTATTTATTCATAACTTGAAAATAATATAAAACAATAAAAAGAAACAATAAGATAATTTAAAATTATTATTTTTAGAATAACATAGAACTGTACTCATTTGACAAAAAGAAGCTTACACTGGCTAAACAAGTGCAGGCATTCAATTTGTGGTGAACTTGAGGAATGAATTGTGCATCATTTGAGCTCTCTCTCTCTCTCTCACACACACACAACTAACGATATTATCTAGCGTTAGATGATGAACCTTAAGGATATGGTGTACAAGAGACCGTGAAAATCGGTATTGGTTGAATCAGTGGTTGAGTCCCTATGAATCTTCGGAATCCCTGTACACGGATTTCATAAGATTTTGGATGGCCGTGATCGAGAGCATAGGCAGCTGATCAGAAGAGTTCGGATCGGTGCTGATTGTCACGAAAGGCCATGTCAGAATTCGAGCAGCTTCCCTCTCATCAGGCCCATCGCCGATTGCACAAAACTTAGGAAATGTGTTGCGGTCTAGGAAACGATCTCGAATCCATCGACAGCATTGTAATTTTCCTACCTCTCTGGAGCTGAAAACTGCGCCAAAAGGTTGTGAACATTAGGACCATGAGATGAAGTCCTTCACAAGGTGATTCCCAGCACAAGGTGAAACCCTCAAACAGTAAGCTTTCATGCTCCTCAAATCATGCCAGTGCGAGACACTTAACAGCACTCCTCAATCAAACAGAGGAATAGACATGAGTAGGATAAGAGACGGTTGAAGGCTTACTGTTTGAGGGTTTGAAATATGGGCTGAGTTTGAATAGCAAACACTTCGCAAGGGTTGGAATCAGGGTCCCGGACGTGACGAGGTAATTGAATGAGTTGGAAGAGGCAGCAGTAGACTCAGAGGTACTTTCAGTGCTTTTATTACACGAGGCGGTTTCTCGGAGCTCATCTTGCAATGCTTGCTCGTTTGCCTTCTGAAACTCCTTCAGCTTTTGTCTTCCTAGTGTGCAACAAAACCGGAGAGGGTTGAGCAAGAAGTGGGCTTCATTCTATACTGTACAGCAGCACGACTCAATTTATGTTCCAAGAGTTATTAGCACATGACTCTGGGTCTCTTAGGGCAGATTGTTAAAAAAGAAGGAATACTTTGGGATGTGAAGATTACCAGAAGAAAGCCAGCCATCAGTAAATGAGTCTGTCTCTTCATACAGGTCGTCCCATTCCTTGGCTTGCTCTGGACTCAGAAAAGTTTCCAGACCCTGTGAAACAATGGTAGATCTAAACAACCGTCAATGTCTGATGTTACGACATACTACACGAGAAAATCCCCTTCATTATATTGAGCCAGAAAGGAAACTAAAGAAACAGGCAGTCGAAAAGCGTAAGTACTTCCGCGTTCATTCACTGAATTGCGAACATCACTTTGATTGCAGATATCCAAATCTGTGCTCTTAGGAAGAAGAGTGAAAATCTTGACCTGCTCATACAGCTGGCTGATGTACCGATACAAGTATCTTAGCTTTTGCAAATCCTCAGCATCTAATGGTGGCGTCAAGCTCATGTCCTCAAACTTGTACTCGTCAAGGTTGATCCCATCGTCATACTCTTGCAACGAATCCACATTTGGATGATTGAACTCTTCTGTCTGAATCACCGTCACACTGTTAGCAAACATTCTTATGGCCTCCGACAGCTGAAGTAGTATCTCTGTGATACAAGATGAAGACATGAATGGCATCACTGGAATTCAGGGTTTGAGCATCACCGCGCTTTGCTGTTTGACAAGCACTCTTCCAAATAAATTTGAGGTTATTTGTGAGATTTGCACCCTGAAGGTCGTGCCAGACAAGAGACTGGCAGGCAAGACTTGGAAGAAAAGGACGAGAACTCCTTACCTGCTGATAGAAGAAATACTCGTCGCACACTTCCAAAACAAGTCGCTCCCAGCGCCGGCCAAGCTGTGTGGCCTTGTGAGAGTCCTTGGAACCGTCAAAAAGCTCCACGTATTGCCCATCGAGGAGGGTTTGAAAGACTATCAGGGTTTCATCCATGTCCCACACGAACACTGTGGGGCCTTTTCCGGTGGCAGTAGGCGAGTCAATATTTTGTTCGGGAATTTCTACCCTCGGATGATCTGCAAACAAGCTGGCTCCATTTCTCTCTGCACGTGACCACGCCCGAATACACATCACATGGATTGTCAGCGACGAAGTGTGCAAAATTCAGGTAAAATAAGCTTCTTAGTTGACCCGTGAGATTGATGTCAAGTGATTGTGCGAATAATTGTAAATTCATTGTTCATTTTAACCCTTCCAGATGATTAAACCACGCTGTTGCGGATTATATGTTTCTCGACATCATACATCTATACTGGGGAATATCAATACAAAGCACCGACATAAAACACGTGCTGCGGCAATTCAACGAAAGTTCTCAACCATGGTTAGGAAATGTACCTCTTGGGCTGTACCGTGGAGAATCAGATGCAAAGGACTTGAACGAAGGTGATGATGGTGATCGCGGGGAATTCGGGGATGATAAGCCGAGAGAATCGCACAGTATTGATGTCGTCGAATATGCGCAGCCATCACGGTGAGACTCGCAGTCCTCGAAATCCGTGTCAATCGGCAGGTTCCACAGAGAGCTAGTTTTCACAGGAGAAAGGCATAAGTCGATTTAACGACAAGTGGCTAAACTGTTGATCGAAACAGTAATTTTCAGCCATAATAACGTCGCCGGCAAAGTAACTTTACGTGCTTGAGATCCAGGTTTTGTCAACGTGATCGAAACATGCAGTACCGAGTGAAAAACTGGCAACTAAGTGAACTGTGCTTTTTAAGAACGATAATAAAAATTAGTGGATTTTTACTAGAAGGATATACAGCATTATCATCATCCGAAGTGTTGGTCATTTGTTGGCGAGTTATCTGAGGACAACAGGTCTAACCAGGAAGAAAAACGGGTTAGGCGTACCGATGGAAACCAACCTGTGTGTCATCTCATCGGAGAATGGGGAAACTCGTCGACTGCTGGGAGGATTAAAGAAAGAGCAGAATTCGGATGTCGACAAAAAAAACTCTAGTCTTTGAGCAGACGACATAGCTGGTCAATCAAGGGGTATTGTTCACAAAACGACAGTCTTCGTAACATGCGGTTTCAGTATCGCACTGGCTCGTGTAACGCCAATCGGTAATCCTGCGAAGATGCACTTACTGTATGAGATGCACTTATCAAGAAATGCCGCATCATCTAAAATTGCAACCAGTATGTGTACTTTTGTTTATTTTTCTAACTACTGGAGACATAGACCTAAACTGAGGTCTACGGGCACGACGCGTTTTGAAGGATCGCGATACAATACACAACTATACTCTACTTGTCCAATGGAATAACTTCCTTGTCCTTAAAATTAAGCATACTTTTTGGGTTCTACTCATAGGATTTGTACGCAGATGACAAAGGAACCTCGCAGTCCTGTGCGTTGTTAACTATGGCTATTAACGTAGCTCTTGTGGTGATAATGATGAAAAAAATTGCAAGTACTTTGTCATCATCTGTTCGCTACGCTGAGACTTAAAAACCTCTCGAGGCTCAAATCTGCCGTGGCAAAAGCTGCAGAGCCCTAGAACAATGCTGTTAATTACAGACACAGAATGACTTATCCTCTTCCTCCTTCACAAAACCCACAGATCGACGTGCTCTTTAAAAGCTACTCCGGGCTCTAATCTAACAACCTTGAATCGACAAACGGATAAATTACGGTCGCAAAAAATAATAGGACAACTCATAAACAAGCACCCCATAAATTTAATAATAATTTTTTGTAGCACAGCAACACGTCTCTTGTTCCATTCCTGAGCACACGTACATCGGCACCCTCCAAGCGCACGTAGCAGATCTCCAGCCGACTTACCAACAAACCACAACCCCCAACAATAACCACCCTAAGGAACTACACATGAAGTAAATAAGTTCTAGTCCGCGCTGCCACAGCACATAGAGGTGGAAGGACTCACAGAAGCGACCTCCCGTTGGGTACTTCAACCAGCACTTAAAACAGAGACATACCTTGTGCTCAATCGGTAGGGTTCCAACTTTTTTTTGAACTACAACAATAAGAGCTCAGGCAATCAACGCAATCGAATTATTCAAAACCCAACAACGATCTTTCACTTTTCTATCAGCCTCATGCACATGCATTTGCACACACCACCTAACCCTGATTACGCTACTTTGATCTTATTACACCGAACCAAATGCTATCTATTAGTCAACCCATACATCAACCAAAAATGACTTTCGTGCATGAACCATGGCATCCACTGATGCTGTAAACCTCCTCCATAAAAGGAAAACTGCGGTAACGGCAACTTCGGCGAGGAGAAATCAGGGTTAGCACTACAGGCAAGCTGACACACACGTTAAATCCAAACTCGCACTGACTCAGTAGAAATCGATAACAAACAGTATCCAGAGCGGATGACGTAGACGTTGCGGCGCTTGCTTATATCCCTGTCAGCAATGGTGGGTCCTCACAACCACCGCAAACCTGTAGGCCCTAGATGGCCGCGATACGAATGGCGGAACTCCAACAGTGTATTTTGTACTGGAAATTCGTTAGACTCCCTTCCTATTACCACAGCTTGTGGATGTAGCAGCGCCAGATGGAAAGCCCCCATGTCGTTACTATAGGCGCTCGCCAGGGGCCTGGGAGTCCCTGGGTCCCGGCCAGCCTCGGAACCCATTGCTGTTCGGGCAGCCGCTTTTTCCCGTTGTTATCGCTGCGGTGAGTTCCACACAGCTCCAGCTCCAGCTCAGACATTGTCCTCATCGCTCAGCACAGCCTGTGTTCGTAGTTTCAATGCAATCTATTAGGCAAGCTTGGTAAGAGAAGTTGAATCATCCAGGTTCTCTTCAGCAGGTGTTTGCAGATCATGGGAGTAATCATGACCCACTGCGAGTTTCCCGGACTTTCACATGGACCTTGAAGCGCAAATTTAAGTCTCTAATGGGTATTCTATATCTATCAATTATTTTTTTCTTCTCGGAAATTGTACAGGATAATTATACGTGAGAGCATGTGATCAAGCCACAAGGAAACCGAAGCCTCTCGCACCCAGGCTGCACCAATCAGCAGCTAAAATTGAAGCAGCCGATTCTGAGGGTCAGAGATCAGGAAGACGGGCAAGAAAATCAAGACACATCAAGGTTCACGAGTAATGGCCACCACAATCCATGTGGAAAGCAATTTAATCTCGTTGGTTTCACCAGCATTGCTGTCTCCTTCACTGCGAGCAAGATTCATGAGTTCTGTAATGCTCCTCTTGTAGGTGGATTAGCATGCAGTGTGGAGTACGTCTCCAACGAAGTAACTTTCTCTCGAAACAGACAGTGTGTGTGTGAGAAAGACTCACTCAATTGCTTGTACGGTTTGGTAACTATTGGACACTGGAAGTGTAACCCGTAGTAGGTCCAAATTTTCTATTTCTTAGATCAGTGCCTGTGTTCATTTGAGCATATCACATTCAAGTTTGGGAAAACACTGCATGCCCGTCTAGGGTAACACAACAAAAGGTTTCGCCAGGAAAGTATCTAAGCAGTGGATTTGATATCATATTCACAACGACCCCTCTGGTGATTATTTCCAAGGTTGGATGAAATTGTTGCAAACGTTGTTCAATTTTATTTTATTAATTATGTTCGTTAACAGTGGGTTTTAGCTGGCTGGGGAGATTGAAAAGTTTGCAGGAACATGGAACGCTGTGGGGTTTTGCAAGGGTTTATGTGTTTGCACGAATACTAAACTCTTACGACCAAGAAGTACTTGAAGAAGAGCTTGCCTTGGCAAAATGTGCGCCTCGCCAACGCGTGGCCTGTAATAGAGGGCCAAAATGATATCAGTCTATAACCAAGGTTAACAATTCATCCGCAGCTGTTCCGCGATCCTGATAACATCATGGAGCCCAAAGAACTTCCTGCTACCAGCTCGAAAGAAGCGAGAAGCAAAAAATAAGTAGCACAGCAATATACGAAATAGTTCATTGATGCAGAACAGCTTTTCACTCCTTCAGTGAACAAAAATGTTGCAATTCAGCTTCGAGATTGCACTCCGAGGCGCAAGTCTCTCCTAAAACAGTCCTGTATCAGAGGAAAGGAAAAATCCTACAGCGTCCCATGTTCTTGCAAAATTTCCCCCCTCCCAACCATCTGAAACCAACTTACATTTTCCCCTCGAATTGCTATTTCCCAAAGTTGAGAGGAAAATAAAGCTGTCAAGCTGATTACCATCATCTTAGTTTTTCATCAATCTCAGTTCGACTTACAAGCCACCTTGTCTCCATAAATTTAAATTCGCTGAGAACCACTAGTGCAGAAAGAACAGAAAGAAGCCAAACAAAATCATCGCAACAAAATCACCTCCAGAATCACCTCCTCACGACTTGTATCTTTTCTCCCAACCCCCAATTACTTCTCTAACTTGGCAGCACACTGCAGGGCAGAGAGTAACCCAATTGAGCTGCTCTCGCACGCAGCCGAATACAGAAGAATCAGCCGACGTTTCACCACCAAGGGCGAATTGGAAGAAGGCAGAGAGAGGATACAACTACGAACTGAAACTGTGCTGAGCGATGACGTTGGCTGGCCGACACCACCACGCCTGCCCGAACGGCAATGGGTCCCATAGCTGGCCCACGGGGGGCTCGCCTGGACCCGGGGACGCCCACGGCCCGTGGGCGGATATAGGAGCCTGGTGAGGCCATAGTGACGAGGAGCGGGCCAGGAAGTCATTCATTCATTCATTTAGTCAGTCCCCACTTTTGAGATGGGAAGGAAGATTGTCAGTGACCGACCCATACACGCTTCAAGCCCACGTCAAAAGATGCATGCCTGTGCTGGGGATCAGGGTCTCCATGCTGGATTCCAACACATGGCCGATTCTCACTGTTCATCCCATGTGCCGTGGATATTTGGCCCCTCTATTTGCTTTTTCCTTTTGCTTGTTGGTCCTGCTCTTGGAAGCATTGGACAATGTGAATGTCTTCACACAAAATAAAGATTCCCCAAATTTCATGGTACAAGCCACAGAGAAACAACCATAGGGAGGATTGGGGCATGCATACTATGTGCATTTTAAATAAATGTTTATGTAACTTAAGAATTTGGGAGGTTCAAACTTGTTAGATGTGCTTCATTGATTATCTTGGTACATTAAAAGTGGTCATGGGGTGACAATGCAAGGGTGTTGAATGAAGCCTAAGAATGATGAATGCAGTCTATGTGTGCCATTCATGGTGTAAATTAGTATAAGTGGGTGTTCATGTGAATCTTGATACCATCTAGGTTCTAATCCAATATCACATGTGTGTCAAGACATAAGAAAGATGAAATTGATTGCACTTACCAATTGAAAAAACTACAAGTTAATTCAATTATGTGTTGGATAGTCTTCTACTCCAACCTCAATGTTAAACTCTTAATGCTAATATCTGCTTTTTGAACTAATGAATTGCTCTCAAATTTCATCAAAACATTGAAAATTGAGTCTAGTATCCATACAATGAAATTTCACTTCAATCCAATTGACAAATTTCTAAAGATCTTAGAAATATTCACTAACTTTCAAACTCCAATTTCTAAGACCTCAACCTTCGTAAACTCTCATATACTTCAATCTAATTTTTCAATTGACCTCAAAATTTGTATACACATTTATAACTAGTACACTAATACATTACTCAAATTTTACCTAGCTTTCAAGGCCAAGTCCCATCTCTCTCCAATCCACTTTTTCTTCTACAATAAAAATAAGAATGTAAATAATTTGAAATACATCTATTTGAACATATTATAATATTAAAATATCTATCAAAACATCTTACTTGATTATTAAATGATAGAAACATATATTATTATAGTTTATTTAAAAAGTTAAAATAGCATATATATACATATATATATATATATTTCTTTTTCAAGGAAAATATCATATATGTCCTTAAAATATGTTGAAATATCAAGAATACCTCTATATTCTTGATAATAGGAAATCTATCCTTCACTTTTGTGAGAATATTAAATCTAAACTTCAACTAATTAAACTATCAAAAATATATTTTTTTTAAGTAACACTAGGCCCAATTTGTGTGCCATAGAGTAATCAACAAGCCTTCTTCTGCACTTTTTGGCACATAAAATTTTGTAAAAGCCCTTGTTTTAGATTTTAGATCAAATGAGGTGTTAAGCCTCCAAAGAATTTACATTTGTTCCACTCTCACATAACACAATTTGATTCCTTATGTGTGAGTCTTAATCCATGTTTATTACATGCTATGGCTCTTGTTTTTTCAAACCCTCCATAGATGTAGTGTTTGCTTATGATCATGGCATCATTTTGCATTGTTTTCATTATTAAAGATAAGTTACAACTAATTGAGTTCAATAGAAATATATCACATCCAAAAAAATTTTTAGGCAATATGCAACATTAATTAGACCATGAAACTAGGACATATATACTACAACTTTTTATATTATCATGTTTGATAATTATGGCCTTTGAATAGATATCCAAGTAAATATTCAAATATTGATTAAAAAAAAAAATTGAATAAAAGATGTCAATTCTTTTGTAGATACTATGCTCTTACCTATGTATACCTTAGACTAAGTAAAATATGTCATGGTGGCTTACATTATAGGGAAGTGCAACTGAAAAAAAAAGTTTGTTTTGTAACAACACTTTAATATCTTTCTTATCATGTACAATAATGATATGAAGTGATTCATTTTATTATTGCTATATTACTAGCCTTGAAGTCAAATTCCTCAAAATTTATAAAATCTGATATTAAACCTAATATTTAATATTATTGATTAAAATAATATCAAGAAGATTGATTCATGTCTATATTTAATTATTATCCATCGCTAAATTGATCAACCATAGAAGTAATAGAGAAATTGAAGAAAGAGCAATACTGCAAGGATTTTTATTTAAAAAATTCATCCAAATAATATCAAGTGAATATTGTATCTTGTAATCAAGTGACCACTATAAGAAAAAAGAAAATAAGAAGAATGAAGGAAGTTCATAAAAAACTTCAATTGTATAGTTTGATCCATCAACTTCTGTACACAAAATTATACCATAATATATGTAAGGCGAATATTGGTTTTATCCTATTATAATATAGAAAATCAATAATCCTTTTACAATAATGTATTGATATTTTATATAAACAAAATAAGTTTCAAATTTCTCATAGAGCCATATATTTCTTTGTTTGAAATATAAACCTTCATGTTTTTCCATTGAAATAGTATTTATAATAGAAAGATCTTTATTCCAACTTATTTGCTGTAAAAATGGACATAGATATAGCTTTTTAAAAGAGAAGGCAAGCCATAGTATTTTACTTTTAAAAAGCTTATGCTTCAATAATTTGACATATTTTATTAAAATAAGATACTTGTTGTTGTGGACATACACATTTACTTCAATAATTTTTTAGGTAATATAAAAA